GGGCAGAGCCTAGGTTGATTCAGCAGTGGTTAACATTGATGTTCGAACTTAAAGTCAATCTTGAAACTTTATATTAGAGTAAACAGTAGCAGTACTACTACCCTACAAGTTGTTGAACAACGCTAGTTAGTTGGTTCATTTTTGACTTGATTTTGATGGAATTCGTTAACAATAGGGATGTGTTTAATTAAGGTAAGGTAGCAAAAGCCTTGTACCATTCTTCTTTGCTTTATACCGTAAGATTATAATACCTAACGACTTCACAAAAGGTAGGGGTTTCATATAGGAGCTATAATAGTAAATATAGTTTTCCAGTGTTAGTTTAAAAATCAAAACAGTACAAATATTTTTACTTTTACACATATTCAACAATTAAACACGATTCAAACAATCGACAAATACGAACGAACTGAAAATACAGTTCATTGGAGGGCTAAAAGTTAAACGAACTCCATGTTAATAACCCTTAACAATTAAAGTTAAAGCCCCAGTACAAATACCATAATCTATATCTATAAAACCACGTGTCGTTATTATTGACAAAGTGTTATCGGTGTTATCATCAAAGTAAATGTTTAAGAAATAATTCTTCATGAAACCATATGAAATGCCATTAAATGTTGGCCGATCCATCCATATTGAAACACGTATATCTAGGAGTTCCATTTGTACCGCAAGATACTTATAACTTGACCGTCAAGCCAGTTGACTGTCATTTACATCAGTCCGATTAAAAGTAAGAATGCATCGCCCGACCTACTGTGCTGCAACCCGCACAGCATCAGTGCAAGCAGTGAAGTCTGTGAGGTTCGCGGGCGGTACGTGAAATCCAAGGTTCACAACTTTTACAAGAATGGCTGATTTAAAAAAAATAGCCTGGCATTATTTTGAAAATTTAAGCCGTATGAATTAAAAACCGTCGCCAAAGGACTTCAAGTTCAAAAGATTGAATAATTAGTTGTAAAATATCTAATGGAAGATTTTAAGGTGTAAAATGAAGTGCACTCATCTTGGCTTTATTTTTTGCATGTACAACTAAAAATTGTGTTTTCAGTTATTTATCATTTAATTTTTTTTAACTTAATAAAAAGATTTGGTTTTTCAGGATTGAATCAGCAGCCCCCAAGTTTTAGCGGATTAGGCGCGGTTTTTAAGTTTTAGTGGATTACTTGGCTGGTACTTGAATTGCACATCCAATCAGAGTAATGATACTTTTTACTCAGAGAAATAACCACTGAGCTAGAGACACAGAATTGCAAGACGTTGCCCCCATTTGAACTAATGGATCGAACACTGTGCTTAGTACATTCTAGATAGGGGAATAGGGAGTTGTGGGATTGTAACAAAGTCATGAGCCAATAAGCTGCTTGATTCCCCTAGTTGGGACCAACATAAAAATAATTGTACAACACATTGACTATCTAGCAGAGTTGCTGTGCAGTGCTACATACATCCAGTCATATTTTTGGGTCACGTATTACTGGAGCTACTCAGTAAAGTGTTATATTTCAATTGCAAACAAATACAATATTTGTAAATAAATCATACTTACATGCTAGTTTCTGGTGTCATTGTTTATGAGTGTGGCTCACACTGTTTTATTTTTTGTAGAGTAATTATGAAAATGTACATACATATATTCAGAAAGAGAATCAGTGATATGTTTTGAAATAAATTTGAAGAAGGTGCCAAAACAATACACGACCCAACATTTCAACTTAATTTATTTCTCCTCTATCATAAAATTCATAGCTCCACCCATCCAGTGTAAAGAATCAGAAATAGAAGATGGCAATAAAATACTGCATCTTTGAATGTAAAAGTATTTCGAACCCTAAATAAACTAAGTCTAGTACTTCAGGATAGTCGGATTTATACCTGGAGGAAATATTCAAAATGATTTATTAGATTTGGGCTTTGTAAAGATTGTCTGAGGGTATGGACAGAAATAACAACAAAAAATAACAAGGAATCTTGGTGTTGAAAATGGAAAATTTTTCAAATCTGATCACAATAACTTTTCATATAAATTCAGCTTTTAATACCCATACATATGATCAGGTAGACTCTAAAGTAAACAAAGTGCTTTACTGATAGACTAACCAACTCAAGCAGACTTGTAATCCCATTGTAAATTTTGAAGCTTGTTTTCGTGTCTAGTTCATGTCTGGTGCAACAATCGCTAGTATCGACGAAATTTAGTTTGGATTATTTTAGGGTTATTTTATTATTTGTGCTTTACTGTTCGGTTATATAACTGGGGACGAGATTAGTTTGATTTGTTCAAGAGGTTTCAAATTATTGAAATATCAAGAACAAATTGTAAACAAAACATGACCTCTACAGTGCAAGTGCACTGGATGGAACTAACAATAAAATTTCCTTCAGCTGAATCTTTTTAAAACCATTACCAATACGTGAGGATATTATTGTCGAATGTTTTTGGGATTGAGCTTATTTGTCTTGTACTTTTGGGACGATTACAAATAAATATATGGAAACTAAACACCTATTTCAAGACATTAAGAACCCTTCTATGAGAATGTAGGAGCTCACTTGCCTTTTGCCGAGCTTGACAGAAGAGGCCCACGGAGAAACACCTCCGTTGACAGATGGAGAATGGCTCGGGTGAAAACTGACATGGGCGGATTCTTTGAGAATTGCACCTCCAATCGGAGTAATGATACTTTTTACTCAGTTCACTTTGTGTGTACTGAATGTGTCCACAGAGAAAACGTTTTAAGAAACAGTTTTTGTTGAGAAAATGATCCCTGAATTTAAGAGGGTTTATGTTAAATTTAAAATACATGTTTTGAAATTTTAATTTTCAAATTGGACAGTAGGGGTGTCAGTTGCCTAGAAACATTTCAGCACAGATGCATGGTATGCATGAATAGTGCAGTTTTCCACAGCATGCAAAAACATTCAGTTATAATACCTTATAGTTCTTAATACTGATTTTCTGGTTTGTGCTGCTTTCAGTGGCTGCCATTTGAACTAAGGGACAAAATACTATACTTAATACATTCAAACTAGGGGAATAGGGAATTTTGGGATTGTAATAAAGTCATGAGCCAATGAGCTAGTTGATTCCCCTAGTTGGTAGGGCCTGCCAACATAAACAAATTTTACAGCCCCTCAACTTTCTATGGCGGCCTACTTGAAAAAATATTTGATGACGTAAAATGTGGTTTTAGGTTTGTCTAAGAGTCAAAACAATGTCACATAACCTTACAATTCACCACTTACCCATTAAAACCTTAAAAATCTGAGTTGTTATTTCTGTCCACTAGTGTGACCTATAAAACAAATCATCATGACGGATTCAGTGTATATGTACGAAGATGCACTCAAAAATACTTGTTACTCTTACTTTTTCATCACCAAAAGCTCGTTTTAATAGTACAAAAAATGTAACCCAGAATTCTAATGTTACAAATAATATCGTGTTTACAAACGTTAGAAAAAAGTTAATAGTTATGTACAGTACTCGATTAAAAACCTCAACGAATATTTAGCAAAACTCTCTATAAATAAGTCTACAGAAATTAAAAGTGGCCTTAATTATATAGGTAATTTACATTGGATAGTTTGTTTGAGAGGATGATAGACAGTTGGGAAGTAGTAGTCATGATGTAAGAACAATTAAAGTAAATGGAAGATAAAATACCATAGTTTTAACAAAAAGAAAGTTTGTATGATCAAACTTTTGATTATCAACAAAGCAGTGATGATACAATATCTTAATTTACAGTAAACTATACAATTTCTTACTAAATAGAATTGATAAGAATATGTTTAAAATGTTACAATCTTCGGGACCGGTTTTTTAGCTTTAGCGACCTATTATTGTCTGACTATTCTTCATAAATGTACAAACAATAAATTCACATAATATATTACTGTAGTGAATCAGCTCTGTAATTTTTTAAAAACACAAATTTCATGATATATTCAGAATAAAACATTACCAGTAAAACATGTTTTTTTACGAACACACAAATGTCTAAGTCTGTTTAACAAAAATTCTAACAAATGTTATTAAAATAATAATATTTTTTGTTCACATTATTTATAAAAATTAAAATTTATACTCTATACAAGAGAAAAAGGAATAAAAATAGACACATCTACAACAATTATTTTTACAGATGGTAAACGGCCATAGTAAAACCATATACATCAACAAAAATATGGCTTTTTGAACACTATTAATTGTTTGGTCAAAACTTTTTTAAATAAGGAAAATATAACTACAATGACATTTTTTGTGTGATCAGAATTTAAAAGAATAGTATTAAATTTATAACTCACACTGTTAATCATATTTTATTCATAGTGTATGTATTTAGTTGCAAAATGTATACTGTATTTGAAATAATCCCTGAACTTGAGAAAAACAGGGTTTGGATGTAAATAAATAGAGAGAACAAAGACAAAACAAAATTGGAAGCATGTATGAGATCTAACATGTAAAAAAAATCCCTACCCTAAAAGCTCAGAATCTTTCTACCCATTGAATTGTTTCTGTGAATATTATGTTTTGGAATCTATAAATCACCATTTACAAAATTGTGCTTGAATTTCAGATTGCTGTTTTTCGCTTCTGTAGATAAAGTATTTATAAACTACATATTGTTCTCTAATAGATTATAAGATGTAGGAGGAAATTTTGTTGGTTGTTTGTTCATATTTCAGTTTTTCTTTCAAATTTTAGCAATGGATCTTCTAATTATTTTAATTATCATAAAGACTATGGTTGCCTGTTAAAGTACAGTAATTTATGAAACAGCAACTAAAATAAATGAATGTTTTATCTTTAACTTTGGATTGAAGTAGACATTCCAATATAATATTAAAGTCGTAGCCAGTTAAAAAAAAAATGGACGTAGTCGAATTGAACCACCGACAGATGCAAAATAACAGATTTTTCTAAAATATGTTAACTTAGCCTATTAATAAAAAGAAAAACTGAAAAAATAATTAATTACTAAGCTAACATTTTTTCTGTCTCATAAACTATTAGAGTACGGTAACAAAAACTATGGGAAAAAATAACACTCTAACACACTCAGTGGCTCATTCAAATAGGTTCTTTTTCAATAAGTCGGCTTCAGCTGGTTGATATCTACTTCAGTATCAACAAATCAATGGTTATACATACATTTAAAAGAATTATTCAATATTAAAGAATTTTGTTCAAAACAGCATTCTGAAAATATTTACAGATTCCAAAGAATAGTTCAGTCTCAGTCGCCTTGCAGTTTCGCTGGACTCAGAACCAGTTCGCGTTTGTCCGTATTCAACATCGGTGAGGTTGGCGCAGAATCTTCCAGCGCCTCCGAATCTTCTTCTTCTATTCTCGTCACAGCTCTGTTAATCTCTCCGTCATCAAAGGTCAATGTGGACTTGAGTCTGTTGAGTCGCTCTACGGAACCGTTCTCAGCCAAGAGTAGTTGTTCGTTGAACGAGTCTTCGCTGCTGAGGCTGTTTGTATCTTCTGGAGTATTGGCATGGCTGAGCTTGTTCATTTCTAGAAGATTCTCCGAGCTGACGATGCTCGGCACCTGGATCTGCGGAATGGGACGAGTCAGTTCCGAATCCATTCTGTTCTGTCCCGCAGGAATAATTGAGACCCGTTTCTTGTTCTTTTTCGGCTGTTCCAGCATGAACTCCTGCGCTGCCCGGCTGTAAGGCAGGTGTCTGGAACAAGTTTTAAAGATTAGGAAGAATTCATGCGTTAAGTTATAAGGATTTAAAGGTTAAATATTTCTTATTGTAACCATAGATAAAACACTATGTTTTATCTATGTTGTAACTTACCATCTGGCCTTGAGTTTTCATTTGCCAGAGTCCAGTGCTTTCCAGTTCCTGTCTGCATGTTTATGTCTCTGAAGTTCAGCCTTTTAAGTTTTTCTTCAAGAGCTATAATACTGTTAGATGCACTCCCATTTAGAGACAAAGTCCACCCTGTTTTTCACCCTACTCTAGCCTTCCTGTCACATATTACTTGGAACTATAACCCACCATTGTTTATTTCATATGTGTACCACATCAGGTGATGCCATGTGAAGGGGAATCACTACAGACAAGCGAATGGGAGGAAAAACAATGAATGACTGACCGAAATAGTAGATTTCATCTCTAGGCGCTAAATTGGCTCTTGGTACGCAATTGCGTTTTGATTAATACGCGAAAATACGATTAAGTACCAAAAAGACACTTTCACTCCGTTTGATGAACAACTTTTTTCATCATACTGAGGAAATAACCTTCCAATCGTTACAAAATTAGAACACATAATTTGAGGTTGTACAAAGTCGTCCTCAATGTTTAAATTTTTGTTGTTTACAAAGATAACTTTAAATATTGTGTGATAAGCAGCGTTTTAATAATGGACTGATAAAATTTTTAGGTTAGCAAACCTAAAAGTTTACCATATGTTTTTGCTGTTACCAAAAAATGATTATTTTACTGACGATTTGGAGAACTAAATAACGGCTGCTTTCCGGACAGTATGATGAAAAAGTATTTGATTGGTACATGGTATGAGGGCATGTTTAAAACCTCCCTCCTCACTAAACTGAGGGATCCTTTAAAGTCTTTAGAGGCCTCTTTGTCCACACCAGACAGTTTTATTGATGTTGCCATGAGGGTACATAGCATGCCTTGCAATTACTTTGATATAGAGGAAGATTGGCATCAGTTTGAGAAGACAGTTCAGCAAAGCTTTATAATTCTACTTATTAAACAGGCAAGCCTCACCAGTAATAAATCCTTTTTGGGCCACTATACAAGCGAACCATTGGTCATGGCAGGTCTGACCATAGACACATATCAACAAATAAGCACTGGCTTGAGCACCCAAGTCCTCTCCCTATAGCCATCTAAAGGGACTAAACCACTGAAATTGACCCATCAGTGCAACATTTACCAACTGACTAATAGTACTTTTGGGACCACATTCAAGATATAGTGTGTTGTTGAACTTATCAATGTCATCGGTTTATCCTCGAAGCTTGGAGGTATACCTGTAATAGTCCGTAGACTTGTCCGCCTGGAAGCTATGTTTGTTGAGCTGTGCGCCGGGTGAGGCAGTGACATGTTTGCGCCGATGCCTGTGTCGGAACCTTCGTCTGACACAGCGCGTCGGACAGACACACAGGAATATACGGACTAGGCAGCACAGAACCTGTAATACAAATTTCACTCAAGTTCAAAGTAAACTTTTAACTAAAAGTCAGGTCAGGAAAAAATAGTTTAGTTTACTCAGCAAATCTTGTGACATTTGCATCCAATCACCTCTCTTACTGTGTTAATTGTTGTGTTCATATGTTGAGGTAATCATAATAACAGGCCTATGTACAATCAAATCACTCAATAATCAACAGAGATAAATGAATAAATTGACATGTAGTTAAAATGTGCATAACATTAATAAAATGATTTTAAAATGAACTACCGTAATACAACTTATAGTAGTAAAACAGTAAACACATTGATGATTTTAAAATCAAAATTATGTTTGGGAAAATTTTTTTACATCTTGTACACTTACCCCGCTGCCGATGAGTGTGGGTCCTATAAGCCTTAGTTCTAGAGTCTTGAACCCCTTTTCTCCCGTGCCGACAAACGCTATAACCAGTCCGATGGCAACGGTGCCAAGACCTACGTAGAGAAGGGCGTTGGCAGCTGCACTCTGGTGGGCGTAAACTACGTCTTCGTCTTCCGAACTGCTGCCACCGAACGACGAGTCGTGGATCTGAGGAAAACATAGGGTGAATAACGCTATGTTCAAAAATATCTCCTTCTATGACATTGGATACTAAAGTAGACATAATGAGAACATAGTTGATTGAATCTCTTTAAGAGTTTGTTACTATTGAAACTATACATCTAGGGTAGACAGCTAGGCAGCTGATAGGATATACAGTGCATGCCTCACAATCAGAAAGTTGCTGGTTCAATCCTGAGAAAAGTCAGAAGTTTTTTGGTGGTTTGAAACTGAACCCAATTGTCCTTGATCAATGGGCTTTTGATGAACAGTCCTGGCTTAAGAACCAACTGATCTTAGGAATAGGTCTGTCATAGGTTAAAACCCATTCATCAATCATCATTCACCTATCTATAGATCAAATTACAAAAAAATATATTCAAAATAAATATGAGGGAATTCTATGTCAGCAATTGAAAATATCTAGCAGAGGGGACCTAGAAAGAAGTTGTGAGAAGTTATGAGATAAAATAAATAAATTTATTATTAAAAACAATTAGTTAACTTAAAATTTTTTTACTTATTGAGTACAATGTAAAAAAATTCAGCTAAAACATTTCATTAAATATCAGCTTGAATTCAATCTTGAAGTGACCTCCACACATTGTACATGGATGGAAAATAAATATTTCAAAGCGTTCAAATAATAATTCTCACAAATTGAATAAACTGTGCAAAGCTGTCAATTGAAACAATTGATTTATGTCACTGTCAACATTGGGTATTCATCAACCTCTTTGATTTTAATGTTTGGATTGTTGTACATTTGGGTTGTTTAGCAAACTGTTTTATTTGGGTTGTACAAACAAATATTGTATTTGGGTTTGTAATATTTAGATCGTTGTTTTCCACTGATCTAAAAGGATAAAAATATCATAAATTATACATGTTTTATTTAAAATAATTGAAAAAGACCAATGATGGGTATGAGCTTTAATGAGCTATGGATTGAAGTAAATTTTGTAAATATCTCCATGTTATAAGGCTGTACTTTCCTAATTGGGCGTCAATAAAACAAAAGTATCAATAGTCGTGGTCAATATGTGTGCGTTTTCGGATGTCAAAGTTTGGAAACCAATACAATATAGTTAACAATACATAATAGTTTTTTTACCAATGTTTAGTAAAAACTTTTAATGTCTAAATTCACTCTCTAATCTCCTTATAAATTTGTAGGCCTATTTTATCGTGTGTAATTCCAATGCTATTATTAAGTCATACCATAGACAAGATACAATTCTGTACTAAAAAGTCAATGGTAAAACTTGACCAACCAATGGCAAAGCCAATAATTTAGAGTGTATTTTAGTACAACTATTTTCAGCATAATGTCAATTTCAGTGAAATAAAACCACTTACCAATACAAAAGGTTGGAAACACTATTAAGTAGGCAAGGGCAAGTGTATAAATCTCATCGGCTCGGGTGAAGGGGGAAAGGATTGATGTGTTTTGGCAAAGATTTATTTCTTTTTGACCTTTAAGCCTCGTTTAAATGCCACAGGAAGGTAAAGGACATAGTCATCCTGGCATTGCTTATACAGTACATTAGTAGTTTGGTCATCTGGAAATACCATTACAAACTTGAACATAAAGTGAATACAGTGTTGATGATGTAAAAGTGTTAAATATATATTTCATCACTAGGGCGTAAATTGACTTTTTTCGACCTGAGCGAAAGTTTATTGGTAATAAGCAAGGGTTGAAAAGACACTTTGCCCACAAGACAAACCATATTTTTTTAGTTATATTGCTTTATTATTTTAGAAAACTAGGTCACAACACAAAAATAATTTAATATGAAGATAAGCTCCCAAAATAACTGTTTTTCATATACAAACTTCCAAAATTTGAAAATTTGAATGATCACTATTAAACAAAACATGAAAACAACTGTGTGTCCTAAAATATTATTAGTAAGGGCAAAGTATGTACAATTTGCCTTAAAATATGAGATGAACATTACTTAGTTGACACTCAAAATACCGGTACCTCAAAACATGTTTCGGGTTTTGTAATAGGTAAGTAGTCTACTTTTAGTATCCAAAGTCAATAGTCAATTTGTACCTAAGAATGTTGCCCCTAAGTTAGTTTTAGATGATCCTCCTTCTCACTTAGTTTTATTATGCCTCTCCTAATATGTACTAACCTAACCAATATTATTTCATTAAATTATTTATGGCTAAACTCAAGTACAAACTATCCTTGAATTAGTTTTACGAGTACTTTCATCTTCATGCACTTACCTCTCCTAATAGCCTTTAAATCAATTTTTTATAAACATATAGTTAATTATTATCATCTAGGACTTTCAAGGGCAATGACAAAACTGACTGCACGGTTTGAGAATGGTATTTTGAAGCTTTTATACTATATATAGATAGGTATTTATAAAGTTCCTAGTGGATCTAAAACTATCACAGGTTTTGCTTCTGACAGGGTTTATGTAAGTGTTGTGTGAAGTGGATGTTGAAATGTGCTGTGTTCTAATCTAAAAATCTCTATTTTAAAGAATGCGCAATCCCCAATCTCTAAACATGTACCTAAATTACAAGTGTTCGGGACTACAGATAACCTTGGTTTTTCATACTTGGGTGGATAGGTAGATTCGATCATTGGAGATTGAAATAGGGAACAATCTGTTTGTGGCTACGAGTATGATGCAATATTACAAATTAAGAATCACATAAATTATCATCATTTACTAGCACTTCCTGAAATAAATTTACCTTGCATGGTTGATACAATGGCTTTTTTACTCGATTTTAGTATTGTGAAGGGATAATTATTTTTAGACTGACTGTGCATGCAATGTGTTATTCATTGGAATTTTAAAACTAATATTTTCCTCTAACAGCTGGCTGACATAGCCTTGCATTATTTTACTATAGGTAACAAAGGAAACACGACTGATGCAGCAAAAGTTAAGAGTATACTGGGAATTTTTTTAGCTACAAGCAAAAGTGAGTATTTCAATTTGGGCATGAACAAATGATAAACGGTTTAAAAATGCTAGCAATAGTCTGAAACTAACAGAAGGTAAGGTAAGCCAAAAGATGTTCAGATGTATAGTATTTTCATATTTTTGGAGAAGACTTCAAAATTTCCTCTGAGATCCAAGAGATTTTAATACGGCATCTTTTAGAGGAAAAGGCTTCAAACTCTCTCTCTCTCTCTCTCTCTCTCTCTCTTTCTCACTGCACCTATTGATAGTTTTCATCTAAAAGATGCTGTTAATCTAATTTTTGGGACTGAAAAAAAAACTATACACCACCAACACTTGGTGTTGGTTCATTCTCTCTCACCAACACTTCGAGGGAACTATGTAGTCCTACAGTCTACCTTCTAATACACATTTTCCGTGTACAAACACCTAAAGGATCGAGTGCTCCAATTGGTTATTGAGGTACGCAATCTTACGAGTTTCTCGGGATGGTAAACCGGACTGTTTTTCTTTCTACCACCGTATCTTCCTTGGTTCTGCTTAGGAAAGATCAACTTGAATTTTCTCATGTCGGGGTTCACCCTCAATCCTGCTCTCTGGTGGGAAAAATGACATAGAATACAAAATGGTGGAAATGTTAAAAAAAAATACAAACTCTCTCAGGAGAAATTCGCTGATAAATCCGCTAAAATGAGCAGATTACTGCAAAATTATAACAACATTTTCCTTTCTGCCAATGATTGCTAAAATGTTTTCCTGAAAAAATATGAAAACTTGAGACGTGTATCAGAATTATTGTTTTTGAATGTTATAAGAATCAGAAACTAAAGAATGGTTTTGATTGAAACAGATGAATGCCAATCTATTGTTTCCTCTAAATCATTATCAAACTGATACTTACTTCCAGAATCAGGGGTTATTTTTCTAAAGAACAGAGTGAAAAATTCCGTAATAAGATTGTAAAAAAACAAAATTTTATAATTTTTGGCAAACACAACAAAACGTTAAAAAAATTGTACATCTTGGTGGTCTTACCCGGTTCCTTTTTATCCATCGTCCATGGGCCTCGCGTTGTTTCGTGCGATGTTGAGTAGCATCCGTCGCGGAGGTTCTTCTTTCTCTCTCCGACCATGCTGTTGCGGCTTTGCCCTGGAACAGATTCCAGCTAGGTAACACCATTGACTATATATAAAACACATCTCGCTTGTAACAGTAACAGTGTCGGAACTGTGACAAAGCACAGCATTATACTTTGGAACAGGTTTGGCTTTACCTGGAACAGGTTATGGACTGATTACACGTCTGGATTGTAACACCTTCCAATAGTCATTGGTTTCTTTGAGCAGTAGTAATACGGAGTATTTTAAAAATAAATTCAGAAGTATATAGTACAGATAACACAATTTAAGAATCAGAATAAAATATTTGTACATATATCACTAAACCACCAATTAATTTATACACAATAAATAATTTGAATCACTACATAACCACCATAGGTTGACCATAGGTTTACCTAAAAAAAAGGCAGCAAACATATAATTGTTTGTGAATAAATACTGGTTTATTAGTAAAAACCGCTAAATTAGCATCCCAACCCTTATTTGTTAATATTTCTAAGCTTATACTCATTTCGTTAACGTTTAACAAAATTAGTGTAAAGTAAAGGCATCCCATTAACACACGCTAGATTTTTTTCTAATCAACTTAAAAAAAAAAAAAACTGCAATTAGTGTAAGTTTATCTTGTGGTATTCCTCAAGGTGCGTTTGACATAACATATTCTATCAAAATAGGCCTAATCATCGGCTGATTCCTATCTCTTTTGCGTCTGGTTAGGGTTCCATTACCCAGTTATCGGAAACCAATCACTAATTTACTTTTCATCAGCATTTACATACATATTTTTGGTTTGTTTATGCAACGTAAAGAAACGGAAACTACCTCTAGGTTTACAGTTATATGTGGATGCTCCCTTTACTATTTATTATACCATACATGCTAGGCTATATTATATTAACCTCTTTTGCTTAGAGCAACAGACAGTACCTGTTTAAAATTTCCAAACAATAATATTTTGTCGCCCATTGGAACTTGTCATAGTACTTACTTAATTAACTAATATATTTCCTGTACCCTATTCCATCTTTATTCCGAAGCTATTTTCTTAGAGTAGCCTTTGAGGCTTTTCCACTTCATACAAAATATTGATTAACCAGTACAATAAATCTCGAATTAAAAATGTTAGTAAATTTAAATACCCCCGCCGCAGCAAACCTGCAGACTAAGCGAATTTCCATTAGCCTGATAGGATTTCACATTAAAATGCCTCCTTAAAAATATCATATTTATTCCCTATTTAAATAGAATTGGTTTAACGAGTACTTAGGTTTGCTGCAACAGGGAGAGTAAAAAGGTGGTTTTTTTATGTTAATAGTTTAGTAAGAAATAAATGTATAATCCAAATTCGAGCAAAATATGTTCATAAACAAGTAAACTACAACAGTTGACTTATTCTCCATAAGAATAACATAGGGATTTTAAATTTACAATTATTTTGAATTTTCTCTGTAACCATTAGGCGCACAATAACGCTTCAATATACTAAATTATTTGTTTTTTTAAGCTCTACAAAATGGTTTGGAAATAAATTGTAAAATTTTTGTGTTTTTACGGTCAAAAATTGGAAAAACCTATTTTTACCCCATAAAACCTCCCATAAACCCCCGTTCCCATAGTCCGATCATGCTGGTTCGCAAACTCGTTCAAATAAATGTAGGTTTACACGTTTGTACCAAATTTCATCAAAATCGGATCATTTTTGCTCGAGTTATCGTGCTGACGGACACATATATATATAAATACTAGCTGTACCCGCGGGCTTCGCCCCGTTTAACTTCATAAGTATTCGCATGGCTCATTCACGTCCTGGTTGAAGTTCGTTCGCTACGCTCACTCACCTTTAGGTTGGAGCTCGTTTGCTGCGCTCACTTGCCTTCAGGTTAGCTCGTTCGCTACGCTAACTCGCCTCCAGGTTGAAGTTCGTTCGCTACGCTCACTCACCTTTTGGTTGGAAATTAGCTGTTGTCATATATTTAAAAAAAATTAATAGTGCTGCACCCTGTTGGTAATCCTTTTAACTTTTATGCTATTGAATATCATAGAACAGAACCAACTTGTTTAATTGAAACAGCTGTTAAGATTCATTAATTCCTTTTAAATATGGAAAATCATAAGATTAACATGGGGAACTACAGAGCCACTGGGGCGGAGCCCGAAAGGGTTTTTGAGATAAGAATATGCTTTAATGTTAATCGGGAATGTGAGCTATCATCATGCCAAATTTCAGCCCAATCCGTCCAGTACTTTATGCGTGATTGAGCAACACACACACAAACACACACACAAACACACACACAAACATACACACAAACTCACAAACTTTCAGATTTATAATATTAGTAAGACGTCCTGGTTGAAGTTCGTTCGCTACGCTCACTCACCTTTAGGTTGGAGCTCGTTTGCTGCGCTCACTTGCCTTCAGGTTAGCTCGTTCGCTACGCTAACTCGCCTCCAGGTTGAAGTTCGTTCGCTACGCTCACTCACCTTTTGGTTGGAAATTAGCTGTTGTCATATATTTAAAAAAAATTAATAGTGCTGCACCCTGTTGGTAATCCTTTTAACTTTTATGCTATTGAATATCATAGAACAGAACCAACTTGTTTAATTGAAACAGCTGTTAAGATTCATTAATTCCTTTTAAATATGGAAAATCATAAGATTAACATGGGGAACTACAGAGCCACTGGGGCGGAGCCCGAAAGGGTTTTTGAGATAAGAATATGCTTTAATGTTAATCGGGAATGTGAGCTATCATCATGCCAAATTTCAGCCCAATCCGTCCAGTACTTTATGCGTGATTGAGCAACACACACACAAACACACACACAAACACACACACAAACATACACACAAACTCACAAACTTTCAGATTTATAATATTAGTAAGATACTAGCTGACCCGGCGAACTTCGTATCGCCTAAGTTATAGGTTTCCCCTAAGACAGACCGATGGAAAGAAAGTACCGTTACGTTTAATTTTCAAGATGATCTCGTTCGCATCGCTCAATCACGTCCTGGTTGAAGTTCGTTCGCTACGCTCACTCACCTTTGGGTTGGAGCTCGTTCGCTACGCTCACTCACCTTTAGGTTGGAGCTCGTTCGCTGCGCTCACTTGCCTTCAGGTTAGCTCGTTCGCTACGCTAACTCGCCCCCAGGTTGAAGTTCGTTCGCTAAGCTCACTCACCTTTGGGTTGGAGCTCGTTCGCTACGCTCACTCACCTTTGGGTTGGAGCTCGTTCGCTGCGCTCACTTGCCTTCAGGTTAGCTCGTTCGCTACGCTAACTCGCCTCCAGGTTGAAGTTCGTTCGCTACGCTCACTCACCTTTTGGTTGCAAATTAGCTGTTGTAAAAGAAATAATAGTGCTGCACCCTGTTGGTAATCCTTGTAACTTTAATGCTATTGAACATCATAGAACAGAACCAACTTGTTTAATTGAAACAGCTGTTAAGATTCATTAATTCCATTTCTCATAAGGTTAACATGGGAAACTCCAGAGCCACTGGGGCGGAGCCCTTTTAAGAATTTCGAAACGGGAAATAGTTTACTTTCTATTCGCATACCTACAGAATTTACACACCAAATTTCATAACGATCGGTGAAGTCGTTCCGGAGGAGTTTGCAGACAAACACTGTGACACGAGAATTTTATATATTAGATATATATATATATATATATGAATTTGAACGGATGGTGTTTTTGGCCTCTAGGGACCTCAAAACGAAAAAATAAATCGGTCCCGGGTCCAGGTCTTACCATGAGTACTACGGTAATAGCTTAGTCCCTATATGGGAAATTCGCTAAAAGAAAGTGTAGAATAAATCTTAAACATATGTTTTGAAATAAAAACAAAGCAAAAGTTTTCCATTTACTCTTGAATCGTTAATTATTTAGTCAATGTGGTTATTTTCATATTAAACGTTAAAAATACACAAATTTGAAAAGTTTAACAGTAAATTCATTTATTTCAACATTCTGCATGGTAACTAAAAAGTCTTAATTATTATAGGTAACGTTAACAATGGTTTTATATAATAGTTCATTGCAGAATTGACTGGCAAATCTTCCAAATGTTAATATTGCGTACTGGCTTAGTGATAAATCACGATCAGCTGTATTGAAATTGAAAAAAAAAACACCAGAAAATGGCTTCTAATGCTATTCTTTCGGAGAACATTTTACTTATCTAATTTTGTGTTAACGCTTTGGAGATTTCATTATTTTCCCCGCCGTCGCGGGATTGAGACCTAATTTAAGCCCTCTTCCGTCGTTCTACGACTTCTCAGTTGCCCGAAATTTTTACGCAAATAATCGGCTTAGGTAAATAAAGATAGAAGATAGATATAGATGTATGTAATGTCTACATCCTTACTTAAGGAACTTATTACGGATGTTGGTAGTTCTGAGCGAAACTGATAAGTTAAACTTATGAATTGAACTTATGTATTTTGTATTAACTTATATCTATAAAAATTTGTTTATTTATTGCCACAAAATGTGATCGCTCCGCTCAACTGGCTTTCACTACTATGAAAGCAATCCTAATAATTCTAATAATTCAATAATAATTTTCACATTTAATAAATCTTGAAAAATACAGTCTATAAAATTTAGATCCACAAAAGTAATATTGTTTGGCATGTATAAGTAAAATGTATAAATGATGCATGAGAAGGAATTCTGAGTTAACAACCATCCAATTACTGACAAGGGCTCCAATCATTGACTGGTGGGGGGAGGGGGGGGGTATGATTCTATTTTGCAGTCTAAAAATAGAATAGCACTGAAAAGCCTTTAGAGGTGCAATAATTGGATTTATGAAACACCCCCTGCTTTGCTACAATGCAATTGTTTTGTGGTTTAGTTTAAATTCTACACAAACAAAAAGGATTTTTTGTAGGTTCAAGTTCAAAACCGACCAACCGATGACTGACTTCAAATTTTTATTTATCTGAACAATTTTTTTCCGAAATATGAATGTTATTTAGTTGGTATAAACTAAATAATCTATAAGGCAGTGGGTACTACA